CACGTGGGCCAATGGGATGCTCACATGTGCAGATGTATGTCAGCACCAAGGGGCTATAAATACCCCCAACTACCTCCGATGAAGGTAATTAATCTTTACGCTTCTCTCTCTGCAATTACTCCTTAAGAGCATATCTTTCTAGAATATTGAGTATTGCTGACTTAAGCGTCAGAGTGTTTTCCCGAGAAAACAACCTCGGGATTTTCAGGTGTAAAAACAGCAAAGGACTTCAACTGTGTTTGACTGCGAAGCTGTCCAAACAACAACCAAAACAAAATTTAAGTAATAATGGGTTTAAGGCTTTTGTGCGAGATGACTGTTTTTGAAGTTACATAAGCGTTTTAGTACGAGTGTCCTTTTTGTTTTTCAATTTATGGTTTTTCACATGCGTTAGAGTTTCTATTAATTGTACTTTTTTTATTAATGGTTATAGAAAAAAAAATCAGTATACTTTTTCTACTCGTTAATTTTTAGAGAAAGTATTTTTATTATGTCAGATTATATAATTAGAATCATTAGATAGAGGTTGTCTCTTGATATTGAGAATATTTCTCTTAACTTTTATAATAAGATAAGATGGAATCCAAAAATAAAATAAAATTTAATTTTATTAATTATTTAATTAAAATCTTTTCAACTTCATTAATTAAGGTTGAAAATAAAATTAATGCACACTTAATACAACCCCTACTTAGTAGCATAAAGATTTAAATATTTGATTTTATCCCTAAATCAAACTTTTTAAATCTGTGAGTATGATTTTTCTCAATATTTGACATCTTCTCTCTCTTTTTATTTCCCTCATTGTTAAAAAGAAACCTTGAAAATTTTAAATTGCCCATGTAATTTTGCTATTATTTCCCTTCTTTTTTGTCCTAGTTATGGAAGGGGATGGGTGAGCATTGAAGGCTGAAACTCTGTACATAAAATTGATGAACATGAAGATGGTTATATGACAATTTTCTTTTAGTCCAAGTTGTCATGATTACAAGTTCTAGAGTTTGGCATCCTACTCAATTTTCTTGAAAGTTTTAGTCTTTTCTAATTACTTTGGCTGAGACAAAAGTCTTGGTACAAAGGTTTTACTTGGATGTTATAAAAGAAGATTGGAGCTTTTCATCATGTTCTTGGGAAATCTGGGAAAGTTTGGACTAATTAAGCAACAAACTGTTGGAAATTCAGAAAAATTTTCGTGTTTTTGCTGCTTGCTGTACTGCAATTTCTTTATTGGTATCTGACTTCTCATATACTAAAGTTTAAGTGCTTATGTACTTGTGTTTTTATTTCTGCTTTCATGATTCCATTTGAATTTGTTTTGTTTCCTTTTGTGGGTTCAGGGAAGCAACGCAATTACGCAAGGTCTCAGAATATTATAAAAAGCAGGAAAGGCTCCTTGAAGGGTTCAATGAAATGGAGATCATGGCTGAAACTGGTTGTTTCCCTGGAAGTCTAACAGAGGTTGTTCCTCTAATCTCCTAGATGTCATGTTTCTCACTTGAATAATTAAATGAAGCTAATTAATTGATTAGCATGTATATTTGACATGTTAATCGAATTCCTTGGGATCATCACATAATTACAGTTCTCATATACAGAACTTGTCTACGAAAAATGAAATTTAATTTGTTAATATCTTGTCGTGTCAAGGATGAGATGAAGCGACTTGCAAAAAGTGAGAGACTGGCTGTTCATGCATCTAACATAGCTAATGTGGTGCTTTTCGCGGCAAAGGTCTATGCTTCAGTTGAGAGTAAATCAATGGCAGGTATTGCCTCAACTTTAGATTCGCTGTTGGATCTCTTGTCAGGGTTTATTTTGTGGTTTACTGCATATGCCATGAAGAAACCTAACCATTACCACCATCCAATTGGAAAGAAACGAATGCAACCTGTGGTAAGTTATTGCTCTCTTATCCTGTCTAGTTGAAGATCATAATTTTTTTGTCATTACTGCTCTTTTAGTGGCTCCTTATACATGAAAATTTGACCACCAGAAGTCTAATTATATGGCAAATTGTATGGTTGGAGCAGTAACAGAAGTCCTTGAAAACTTGCTCTTGAACTGACCTTATTGATATTTGATGAAAATGAATGTTTGGTTTGGGGATTTGTGAGTAGAAGAATCTTAGTGGCTAGTGGATTTTGTGCTATATTTCAAATGACCAAGCTCTATAAAGAACTGGTTCAGAATTTCAGATGCTAAGATGGTAGCGAATGTGGTACATATTCCGAATCGGTCCAATGGATAACTGTCAGACAGTGCTTTAGACTAAATTGTATTTCATGCTGTTTCACATATATGTCTTCCATTAGTAGAGCTATGCCCTAAGCAAGCTTGAAAATGCAGGGCATCATTGTCTTTGCATCAATAATGGCAACTCTTGGACTACAAATAATTCTTGAGTCTGTCCGAGAACTCATTTCTAAGGTATGCTATCTTGATCTATTGCACTCCAACACATCTAGGATTGTGCAATCTGCTCAAATCTTTTCTGTTGTAGTACTCTTCCGTGTAACTGGAATCAGAGTAGTATGTGTACTGATAATTTTTTACTAAGTTAATCATCGGTTGATGGAACTTAGATATGGATTTTAATTGTTCATTAGTGTACATTATTACAGTCATTCTGCAGCTCAAATCGAGATTACTCTCTCTATTAATGCTAGATATTTGATATCAGAATATGAAAACAAAATGATAATAACTGCGTTGCAATAGTCATTTAAAATATATGCTTTTCCTTGTTCTTGGCTATAGTCTGGCCCTGAGATGAGCAAGGAGCAGGAGGAATGGATGATTGGGATCATGGTTTCTGTCACGGTAGTAAAGTTCTTTCTCATGGTTTACTGCCGGCAATTCAATAATGAAATCGTCAGAACCTATGCACAAGATCACTTCTTTGATGTGATTACTAATTCCCTTGGTCTAGCTACGGCTGTCCTAGCTGTTCACGTCCGCTGGTGGATTGATCCTACTGGAGCCATAATAGTAAGTCCACCGCAATCCTAACTTTGCACCTCAGTACATTATTATGTTCTGCTTCCACAGTCACTTTAACAGCTGAAATCAAATCCATGACACAGATAGCATTGTACACAATTAGCACATGGGCCAAGACAGTGCTGGAGAACGTATGGTCATTGATTGGAAGAACAGCTCCGCCCGAGTTCATATCAAAGTTAACTTATCTAGTATGGAACCACCACGAGGACATCCGACACATTGACACAGTTAGACCATACACTTTCGGTTCTCATTACTTTGTAGAGGTAGACGTAGTCCTGCATGAAGATATGTTCCTAAGCAAGGCACACAACATCGGTGAGACACTGCACGAGAAGCTAGAGCAACTGCCTCAAGTTGAGCGCGCCTTTGTGCATATTGATTTCGAGTTCACTCACAGGCCTGAACACAAGACCTAGGCGTGATGTTCCCATTTTATGTCTACTTTTTGTGAATGTTGTAATTACCGAATGAATTGCATTATTTTTAATCATTAATAAAAGTAAATCTCTAATGAGATTTATCTTTTATATAAATATTATATTAATATTTTTATTTTAAATAATAAAATAATAATTATATTTATTTTATTTGTGAATTACCTTTTTTTGTTTTAAAATAATTATCAATTTTTAACTTTAAATTTATTTTAAATTAATTATTTTTTAAATAAATAAATAATTTTTACTTTAATCATATTATTATTTATTTTAATTAATTATTTGATAAAAAAACATTTTTTATTTTTTATTTCCTATTTGAGAATATTATAAATAAATATAAAAATTACCTCTAAATCTTTAATTTTAAAAAATACAAATAGAGAATGAGTTACTTGACAACAAAGTAGTTTTTATCATTTTCCAGTCATATACAAACAGGCGAAGACTACCATGAGAAACGGCACCAGCCTTCTAATTTTTATATTAATATAATATTTATAATTTGTTGATTAAAATTTTTTTATTTAT